AGTAAGTTTTCATGCATTTCAATGAGTGCACTGTGCTGTCCATTGGGGATTGGCGGCTAGAGCGAGTAAATGTAACGGATTTTCCTTAATTCAAATGGTTTGCGAGCTAGTTGACTAGAATCATAGACAGGCATATATGGACTTAATTAAAGGGTGAAGAATAAGTGTCCCATGATCATATAATTCTTTCAATAGCGTCAAATTTTAAAAAACAGAAACATTTTTGAAACGTCAAATTTGGAATAACAATTAAAAACGAAGCGTTACAAACTTTTAGTTAGTGGAATCAATCAGCTTGTTATCTCTTTTTTTAGGACACAATAGATTCATTTCAATCAGATTACAACATTTTTGTATTCAGTTTGTAAACCAACTCCAACTAGTGTAGTAAATTTGCGAAATGTATTTCAGTATTGGGTTTCGCTTAACTCTGTCAAGAGTTTCGCAATTTACTTGGCATTGCTCTATTCGCATTTAGTTAAAGCTTAGCTTATATATGTATTCGCACCTTGTCAATGAATGACAACTATAAAAGAAAAATCTAACCACGCGCAATTTGTCTAGTGCACGAGGAAATTGATCCAAGCGATTTTGCAACGCCGAAGAGTCGGACGCAGAGTTTCTCTCCACAATCGGGGACATGTCTAAAAAGTATTTACGGCATCGTCAGTCATTCAATTTATCGCATTTCTTGGCCCAAAAGCAAACAGAGAAACCGTCAGTAACTTCGACTTTGGCGCTGACGTTGGCGTTGGCTGGCGACAAGTTCATACGTCTTATGACTTCCCGCTGACGGAAGTGTGTGTGTGTGGGATGTGTATATGTGGGGTCTTATGTCTGCCTGGGACGTGTAGCTTACAGCAAAATCACTTTTATAATTGGCACGCAGCCAGCCAAAAGAAGCTTCATGATGGTAAAATAAAAAAAGTTAACAAAAAAGAAACAAAAAAAACGAAACTTTTACGTCTGTAAGGCTTTCAGTAAACTTATTGCCTGGCTCGTCGCGTCTTCAGATCCTTCAGCGATGTCTGCAGATACTATTTGTCAGATATGACATTATATTAATTGAAATCATATGTCAGTATGGGATCGACGCTCAAGCGACACGACCTTTAAAAATGTAATAAAAATCTCAATCCGAAAGTCAATTAAAGTCATCAAATGTGTCGCCAATAGCCCGTCAATATAATAATAAATTATACGATACGACTGTCCATAGAAAAAAAAAACCTGGAACCCTAATTGAATTGGTAAATATTTAAATAAATATAACCGCAAATAATTAAAACAACAAAGCCAAACCAGGCAGCAACCGGTGGCAAAATTTCAATGGACGACACGTCTAAATTAAAAGCTCGACAAATATGAATGGATGACAACAACAACAACGACAACAACAAGAAGGACAACAACGACAACAAGAAAAAAATATCCCTGTCCAGGTAGATGGCTAAAAGGGCGCTCACTGCACATTCCAACCACAAAAGCAATTAAATTTCCAATTAAATTGCATTCACTGTGCAACAAACGTTGCAAACGTTACGCGATTTATTTAAATTGTTAATTAGGAAAAGCAATTGCAATGCGACGATGACAATTTAAACAAATTTATTGATCAGAAAGGTGTTTGCAAAAAATCCTAAATATGCAAATAAAAGAGAGTTGAGGGCAACTGTACACTAAGTATGTACTTAACGAACTTTTATATAAATTTCATGCAGCGCTCAGTAAATTACTACACATATTGGGCAGCTCTTTACAGTCGGCAGGACTCGCACAATGCCAACAAGAACTAAGACTGCCAAACAAAGACACCAGCAATAACAACAATTCCAAAATCGAGACAGCCGTACAGAAATGTTGAAGAGATAGGGGAAAAAGGCGAGTATGTCGTCGACGGTGAAAAAAGGATATAATTTTACGTAAACGTTTTTATAGTGTTGTCATGTACGATTAATTGCGGCTCATTAAACTTTATATGGCTGCAGAAGCTTCAACGATTTCCGTGCCAAAACTGCTCACACCCCGCCGCCTGCATTTATTTTACCAATGGCAAGACAAGCTCAACTGTACGAGTCGGGCACTCTTGATCGGACTGAGTTTGCGTTCAGAGATAGTTTCCCTTTTCAATTTCATTTTAGTTTTTATGTTCGCAATACGTATGACTAACACTCGTTTGAGTAGCCAGAAAAATTACAAGTGTACATGTTAAGAGTTAACACTACGTAAATTGTCCAAAGCTCACATGTAATTCCTAACTAAAGACACTTCATAAGGAAAACTAAATATATTTGTATTCATATAGATCGCTGAGTATAAATATCAAAGCAAGTTTAAGAATTTTGAATGTTTAAAAAAACTTGTTATTTAAAAAAAAAAAAGTATATAGGAAATTCATTAATCTGTAGTCATATATTGTACACTTATCAGAAAAATACAAAACAACACTTGTGAATCGCAAGCATTTGTTAAATGAATTTTCATTTGATTTATATTTCATTTAACATAAATCCAATCATCAATCATTATCAATTCTGATCTAGATATGTTTGTAGCCAAATTATTTATGTTAAAAACTAAACTCGGAAAAATACAAATTGAACATTTTAAGTTCCAAAAAAAAATAAAGAATTATAAGTCAGAAGGTACAATAAAACAATAAGTAAATTACTTCGAGCACAAAAAAAATCCTGTTTTCAATATAAAAAACGAATTTAAATAAAGATTAAACACAAAATGTATAGCAACGATTTGCTATTTGAGATATTGATGAGCCAACGGGGAATGACAACTAAGAAATACCTTCTCGATATAGATTATCGGAATTAAAATATAGGAAAAAGTCTATACTATGAAATTCGAAAATTACTTATTCTTGAGTGGTCGCACTGAGCGGAACTTATGAGTAGAAAATTAATGTTAGGATAAAGAGAAAACTTAAGCCAAGAGATTTTAGTTTTCTGTAATATACACGCGTTTAATTCACTGAAAACAAATCTATTTCTGAATGAAAACTTCATATTCAGAATTAAGTTATATTTAAATTAAATAAATAATCGAATTATTATACAAATATAACAAAATAATACTATACGACTATACTATACGAATAAATATATTATGAATAAATTACTTTAGATCAAAAATGTTTTCTTCCATGTCTAAACGCTCTGTTCTAACAATACTTTGAATATCAATCGATGTATATTTTGTTTCCTGCTAAAATAACTGGATTTTACCTTGCAATATAAATATTAATTTACGAACCAACAGAATATTTTGCGTAGTATATTGGACCAGGGAATACCCTTTAAATTACAGCATTCCAAATATATTTTAAGGAATATCCAAAAAGTCAAAGTGTAGTCTAGCATTATTTTATAATAAGCGATCTTTCGAAACCCAAAGGCAACTACTTATTTATTATTCATCACAAAAAAAATCTTCTGCTTTTAAATTAAATAAAAGAATTTCTGAGGAAATTAAGAAATATTAAATATCAAAATGAACGGTCGGATATAGATCGATCGCCTTTCGTTGCTGATCACGAATATCAAGCAACCCATTTTGATAATTTTATGTGTACAGGGCATAGAAACAAAATATCCTTTCAATGGCACAAAATGTCTACTCGAATAGTAATTGTTGGGGCTGCTGGCGTTATTTATTTGCGAGGGATGCCTAAAGCAATGTTGCGACCATTAAAAACAAAAAACAAAAAATAACAAAAAAAAAATCATTTTCGTTGCATTTTTTGAAATGTTTTCAAATCAAATATCGACAACTGCGGCCGGACTGAGGAGCGAAGCGACATGCCTTGATTGCCTTTGACTGCATATTTATTTGTATGACCAGGCGGGAGTTTTTTTTTTTTTTGTTCTTTTTTCAGTGTTGTTGCATGTTGTGTGATTTTCATTTTGTACACTATTGAGCTGTTCGTATTTTTACGCTTTTTGTCAACATTTTGTTGTCGGACTTGTTTGCTTTTTAAGCTGGACTGTTCGCTCTGGGCCCGTTGGTTTTAATGAAATGTTTTGATTATTTCCTCAGCCACAGCTTGCAGGGCTCATTTGTTACATTTAGCCATGGGACGTGTGCCAAAGAATTGCTTTAACAGATTCGATTTTGAATATTGGAAATTGGTTTTATGGCACTTAAAGTTACACATCATATTGTCACCAAGATTGAGGCATTCAGCAGTCAAATCAAAAGGGATTCAAATGCACTTCAAATTACCTGCATTAGTTTGCAATTGATTTGATTTTCAAATATGCTGCCAAATGTCAATGAGCTTTGTTCGCTAGCAAAGATTTAATAAACATCTGCAGGCTCATCAATTGAACTAATGACGCAGCAAAGTATGCTACATAATGCTAGAACGGAATATGCATGTCATTTAGTCTGCGATTTATGCGTCTCACTCGAAAACACTTGAAAAGCTTGCACATTCATGCAATTCACTTCACACAGGCACACTCACACTCACACATACAAATGCCACATTGCCACATACACAACTCGGGCGACAACGATTTAGGCGGATCAATGCAAAAATCACTTACTCGCCCTGGAAAATAGTTTCACTCGTCGAGCATGTGCTGTGCAGTCAACTCTAAAATTGCTGATATTGACGTTTGCTTAGCAACTGTCGCAAGACTGATAAATTTGCTGACGTTGCAATCGAAGGCCAAAAAGCAATTTTGCCAAATTTTAATTGACACTGAAGTGTCAAAGGCTTGCAAATCTATATCACAACACGCAACATCAACGTTGCTGCAATTTAGGGTCTTAAAATTATAACACAGTTACATAGTTTTTGACTATTTTACAAAGAGATTTTGATAGGACATCATGCAAAGAAATAATTCAAAATTATTATGGTGTTCACGTATAATCAAAATTTTAAAAAATATCTGAATATTCGAATTGAATGTATTTCGAATATGATCTCAGCCTCCAGCTGTACATATATTGTTGCCAATTTGTGTCTTTAAACTTACCATTAGCGCTATCTTTTTTCAATATATATGCTTTAGAATTTCCAATCAATTTAAAATCAACATATTTTGCACTTCTTTTAACACTTTACGACTCAATCAAATTTCGGGTTATTTAAGAGGCGCGCCATTTACACATTAATTTGTTTTCTTAGTTTACACACTTTTAATACAAATATTGCATACACCACGAACTGTTGTCAAAATAAGTTAAGTTTTTCTAATAAGGTATTGATATGAAAATATTCATTTACATTAATTTGTGTAGTGCAAGAGTAATTATTGATCTACAGCATAGTTCAGTTGTTACAATTGTTAGGGAAGCATAAATGGTTACTGATGTAAAATCTTTCCATTCGAGTTTTTCTGTTTTCCTCTCTCTTCGTATATTTTCACAACCATAATCAGTTAAGCGAGCGATTCAAAAACTTTGCGTCATTTCGAATGGCTATGTAGAAAAAATTCTAGAACAGCTTTGGTTCTTTTTTATACAATTTACTTGAAATTCAAATGATATTCTTAAGGGAATAGTTATAATTATGCGCACTATGATTATAAGTTTGACTAGTTCGACTAATATACTTTTTGTTTTTTTGTGATGATAATAAAGAGTTCTACGCTTCTCTATGCGGCTTTTACTTTAATTACTTAAATTTACGACAATTTTGTTTTAAATTGTGAACCCAGCCTCGTGTCTTCGAACTAACTTCGAAAGAAGTTTAAATTGTTGCGTAAAATTTAATTTATTTTTTGTAAAACTTCGTTTTGAAACGCCTAACAATATGAAAATGTTTCTTAATTGTGTTCGGTATTTCCATGTAGTCCTTCCATACACATGTTTGTGATAGGTCAGTTACATGATTAGAAACACGCTAAGTGCCTTGACTTAGGTCAGTTCTCAGTTAGCTTAGCCGATATTACTTTCTTTCACAATCTAATGGTATTCGCCCGCAAGTATGCAGCAAAAAGTTCTCAAACGCACGAAACACCAGCAAACAGACACTCATATACAGACAGAAACACAAAGAAAGATTGGAAAATGTTTGCTTAGACGCCGGCTCTTTGTCGTCAGCAACCTTTCGTAACCGTATTTCGCGCAAAACTGATCCTTAACGCATTCCGAAAAAATCTGCTGCTTGGCATCGCCAGGCGAATGTGCAACGAGCCCGAACCTTACAAAATGCACGAGGACACACGCGAGACGGCCGACAGAGAATAACGCCGAAGAGTAGGTCGGCACACGAGGCGCAACAACGAGCAGCTGCCGGCAAATGACGACAGCCAAGTTGTAGGGGACAGCAGACAGCGGCTTTTGTTACCAACAACACTACGCTTGTCCTTACTGTTTTTGGCCAAGTGCAAATCTCGGCAAATAACGAAGAGTTGACGACGATTGCAACCAGCCGAGGTGGCCTGGACCAATAATGAAGATGTGTTGCATTCACGGATGCAACATGTAGCGCATGAGAGGAGCAATTCCCCAAATCAATTAAGCTATGTTTAAGTCTCGATTTAGACTAATATTATACGAAATATATGTATATATATTTTTACTAATATTTGTATATCTTTCTTAAATAATATTGAAAGTTTTTATCTTTAAAAAACAAACTTTGTAACAACAATAGTTTGGCGCATCCTTGAAGAGGCAAGTTCAAACATGTTGTCCGGCTAAATTCGCCGCAAGTTAAGCTCTCCTCTACAATACAAGTAATGGCAACAAGTGCAAACATCCCTATAAGATTTTCTACACGCCCACAGTAACCTATCAGCATTTCGCTTGAAAGCTTTCATTTTGCCGCACACAATACACTAAAAGAAATTTGTGTTCTAGACATTCGTATAGCAAGGTTTGGGAATTTAGCATCCCAATGCTTATGTACACTATGAAAACAATTAAAATATTTTAATAAAAACTATAAGGATATGAATTTGACATCTAACTTTTACACATTATGTTTAATGTGTAGCTTGATGCAATTTGTTGCAGTGTACAAAAGCTGTGGGGTTCAAGTGAGATGCGCCGATTTCCAATTTAGTTTGTGTAGACTTTCTGAAGCATCTCTCAAAGAGTAAATATTTAGTGAGAGCGAGACAGCAAAGTCTACACGAAAGCCTAAGAGAAGTTTAAGGGTTGAATTGTCAGCATGAAAATGAGATGCCAAAGTAAATCGAATTGAACGCTTATTTGTCCAAAGCAAAACAAAATCAAACGATGTTAAATGGAAAGTTAAAACTATAAATAAAATAAATACAAAAATACATTTACGCTTTCAAATAATTGCTTAAAAATGGGAAGGATTTTTTGTAGGGCTTAAGCATTTAAGGCATTGATACGCATTACAAAAAATCCCAGTCCGCAGCTAAAATGCGAATACAAATCGACTGATACCAGCATTCCAATGCAGTTAGTGCACACAGGCATGCATGCACACACACAAACGTATTTACATAAATAAAACCACCACCACTTAAGCTGGGATGGATTCCCCAACAGTTTTTCACCACGCGCTTAACTTTAATCACTGACAGTAACATATACACGCGCACACACACGCGCACACACACACACACACAAATACAATAAGAGAGACAGACAGCCAGCCAGCCAGCCAGGCAGACTTGACCAAAAGAGGATAAACAAAATGTAATATAACTGAGGGGGCAGCTCTTACTATTTGCTGAGCAAATCCCTGAGGTTCTCTCGCTCTCTCACCGCATGCGCACTGGAAGCTGCCCTTAAGCTGAGCTCGACCAATCAGCAGCATTCATGTAAGCTTTATGAGCACGATTCGAATGGGCCAATCACAGCTTTGCACATTTCCAGGCAGCCGAGCGACGCGTTGCAGCATTGCCCCTACAAATATGCATGCACCGTGGTGGAGGCACCCCGAAGAGCGCGCAGTCGCAACGTCGAGATGCGGCAAGCGTTTGCCTCGATGGGCGCCGCCCAAGTGTCGATTACAATAGCAACAACCTGCATTCGTTGCATATCTGTAGGCTCAATTACATGCAGACACACACACATAAACATAAACACACACGCACACTCACACACAGCAGCACACAGAGAGGCAGACACACGCACACAGACAAAGGGGACTTGTTTGCTCAGTGCCATTCGCATTGCTGCCTGCTCAGGCTCAGGCCCAGGCGTCTAGGTGACAAATTTTCATGCCAACGCCTGTAAATATGTACTAATTTTTTCGTACAGCCCTTTTCGCATTGCAAAACGAGGGTAATTGAGGTCGACAGCGCCATAGCCATAGTCATTGTCGTCTTTTGCTGTGTTGATTTTTCGCATTGCATATTTCTAGGAGGCTCTGCCTTGGTGCCTGCCTCTGATTGCGAGGCAGCTGCTGTTGCCTCCTGCAACAAACTCCAGGCAACACTTGGGGCATTATTATGACGTCTTCTTTGGCGCGCACGAGTGCCCCGACCGGCTTGGCTTGGTTGTATTCTTCTTGTTTATTTTTGGGGTCATCATGTTTACCAGCAAAATATTTCTCCAATGCCAGAGAGCCAAGTGTGAAAACATTTTCCTTCGCTGCACTTCTGATTGCCGTCGAAATTGGAGTGCCACAAAAAGTGATAAGGCAAAGAGCACAAAATATTGCAATCTATAAATCCAACTTTCTGCCGTCTGGATAAATCAAAAATGTGGTCAAAATTGTCGAATAGGCATTTTATTTTGCGAACTGTGTGTGGGGGGGTGGGCAATCAGTGGACACCAAGTGCTTGAGAATTCAATTGATGCCTCAATTCGTATTTGAGAGGAGTTGAGTATGCTCAAGCAATCTAAATCAGTTTGCCAGTGGATACTTGATAAAAGCCTTAACACAATGTTGGTTTTTATATTATCCATCTCAATTATTGATTTCTATATCTATTATATGCTCACTTAACTGCTAAAAGCCATTTTCTTTAATGGTATGCTATAACATTTTCAAAGCTACAATTGATTTATAAAAGAAACATTACGAACTATAAAATATTGCTGTTTGCTTCAACAATTTTTTTGCACTTGTTAATGAAACCTACATTTTAGACAGGCTTTCAGTCGCAAAGACTTAACTACATTAACTCAAAATGTACCACATACATTTGCTGCTTTTTTCTACAGCCCACATAATTTCAGCTTCAAGTCAGAAAGGTCACATGGAACAGACCCTGAAGCTGGGGCGCACATTGGATGATGGTCACGGATTATGTTGGAGGCTGAAAGCTGCAACCGCTGTGCCTATTTGCACAGCACAAAGGGGCAGAGCACGTAAATGCATGTGCAAATATATGTGAAGGGAAGAGCAACGCACACACGTACGTACACACACACACCCATACAAATACAGCGCTACACACATACTCGTAAGCACCTGGTGGAATGACAGCTGCAAAGTCGAAAGGGAATTGAGTTAGGAGCCAAGAGCTTTAAATCAAAAGTCAGCCAGTCAGGCATCCAGCCAGCCAGCCAGCCAGGCCTATGTAAATAAATGCAATATGCAGGCGCAGAGTGAAAGCAAAGCAGACCTAGCAAAAATACCAAGCAGGACATTTTTTTTTTGTTTTGCTCACAAGGATACGCCCGACGTCAATGTCGACGCAACTACAATTGAAAATGGCGCCTTAGTTTTACGGGACCGATTCTGATTAAGGCCAGAGGTCGCTCGCCGGCGCATCATCTCTGTCTGTCTGTCTCTCTGTCTCTCTGTCTGTCTATCTGTCTAGCTGTCTGACCAGCAGACTACCGCAACCGCAGGAGAAAAAAATCCTAAAAAATGCTTCGGTGGTCCCGTGCATTGTTGCAATGTTACGAAGTAAGCAGAATTACGTGCATTTGTTCTCTGCAGTGCGGCTCGTGTACATAAATACGAGATGCGGCTTCAACGTGCTACGCTAAATAAACAAAGACACGTTGACTGCATTTTGGATGAGCGTTGCCACCCGACTGACTGACTGACTCTCTGTTTGCCCATTTGAGCAAATAAATGCCGCATACTTGCAGGCGCGTTTGACTATGACGCTCACGATTAGGCTTTAACATTTAAAGGAGCTCAACAGTCAAAGCCCAGCTCACCTTTATAATACACAACAATCGGAGTGATCAGTCTATCAAAAATCAATATTTTGCGTTTAGTGTCTACGTTGCATATACCGAATCTGAAAACACCGGATATACGCCTGTTCGAGTATCTGAACCACTCCAAAGATATGTCTTCTTATCTACTAGATACTGCGAGGTTGATAGGGAGGAAAACAGCTGGAATGTCTATTTTGTTTTCGAAGGGCGTTAATAGTTTGCATCATTTCTTTTGGCGATCACTTACGATCAGAAATGGCACTCAGGAAAACCCCTACCATCAAGAAGTATTTGTTTTAAAATCCTTGCAGATATTGGTAACAACCTTTTCGATCGAAATGACGCTAAAAAATTCTCCGGCTTGCTAGGTCTTGGCATCATTTCCGAAAACAGTTGCGTACAGGCAGACAGATAACATGATAGGACCAATTCACACTTAATCTTTTTGAAGTTAAATAAAACATATACTTTTAGCAGCCATAGGATGGTCGGAATATAAATTCTCTTATGAGCAACATTTTTGTGTATTAAGTTATCTTAACCAAACTCAGTGCCCCAGCATGCCTTAGCCAATCTCTTGCGAGCAAGCAAAACAATATTTGTTAATAAAAATAATATATATATGTATAATATATACAGACATATGAAGTATGTATATCAGAAGATTTCTGTTTATGCTATTGCGTCAAAAAATGTACATAAAGGAAGTGGAAACGTTCTTTATAACTGAAGCCGGGAGAATTTTTCATGGGACATATTTTATATACTAAAATTAGTTTATTTTTATATCAATATTACTGAAACTACCATTTGAGCAATTACGAACTAATTTTGCTGCATTTTTGTCTGAATTGGCAAGTACTTAAATATTATAATTACTAATCCATTAAATTACCTAAATAATTGGCCAGCTAGATAAATGGTCAGCGCACACTTCAATGAAAGCTGTATTTTTTGGTTAGTTTATCAGAGTATCCATACACAGCAGGAGTCCATAAAAAATGAACGTTTCAAAAATACTTATCATTGTTTTAAGCTTTATGCCGTACACCAATATGGTAACTATACACAAATAAAAAAAAATGGATTAAGTGTATAATTCACAACTATTTTTAGAAATCCACATTTTTACTTTTAAAATCACCAACTTGCGACGAGTATAGTCCGACCTTTTTTGGAAACTTCTCTTTGCTTTTCAAAAATGATAAACTAAGCATAGACATGGAATTAATCAAAACGTTGCATTCGGGCTTGCGCATAAATATGTATTTTTTCACACGCATGCTAGAGTCGGAATCATTTCGAAGTTTCTATCAGTATTCTTTAGACATGTGTAGTATGTTAGCCAAACTTAAGAGCAATATTTTTAAAAAGTGGTTTTCGACATTTTACGCATATGGAAATTTTGAGAAACATTGCCCAGTCCAACCAAATTATTACTATATGAAAGACTTTAAAATTCATGAATTCGAAATTCCATCATTTTTGTTTCCTGGCATTTATCGTTTAACATTTAATATGATTCAAGGTCAGGGCAAAAATAAAAGTATGGAATTTGTAATTGGTTGTATTGTGGAAATCGAAGTAAAATAAATACATTAGCAAATTATTTACTTTGTATGTACTTATACCTAAAAAGAGATGGGCATGGGCATATATCTAGTAATTAAATGTTGCTATTTAGAAATAAGAAAACCATATATATAAATTGATATCAGGAACAACAGCAGTAATGAGTTTCTTGGATAGCAATAATTTCTATCAGAAGTTGACGCAAAATACACAGATAATTTTGGTAACAGTTGGATTTGTTATCCCCCACTACGCCCGGTAATTTCTATTCGTTTTTACATAATAATATTTACTGAAGTAAGTTTTTTTTTCAAAGTACTCTGAATTAGCCCAATATAAAGCAATTTTTGGTGCTGCTATTCCACATTTATTTTAATTGTCAAATGCTAAAATATTTAACTATTATTACTCTTATCAGATTGCCTTGCACATAATTACGCAAAACACACTTCAATGAATTCTGTGTTTTTAGTGAATTCATTTGTTGTATCAAAGTATTCATAAACAGCAAGAGACCAAACAAAAATGAACGCTCAAATAGCATTCATCATTGTTTTAAGCTTTATTCCGAATATCTATATGGTAAATAAATAATAAAGGAGAAAGGCTCAGTCTTCAAATTCGAAACTATTTTTAGAAATCCACATTTTCGATTTTAAAATCACCAACTTGTGACGAAATTAATCCCAACTACTTTGGAAACATATCTTTGAATTTAAAAAATAATAAGCTAAGCATGGATATGGACTTACTGAGGACAATACATTCAGGCCTACGCGTAAATGTGTTTCTTTTCACACGAAAGCTAAAGTCGGACGATTTTCAAAGCTTTTATCAATTCTCTTTGGACATGTGCAGCATGTTGGATAAGCAAAATAGCAACATTTTGAAAAAATGGTTCTCAACATTTATGGCATGTGGAAATTTTGAAAGACGTTGCCCAGTTCAACCGAAACACTACTATATAAAAGACTATTTAGTGCATAAGCTTGAAATTCCTTCATTTTTGTTTCCTGGCTTCTATCGGCTTAAATTTAATATGATTCAGAGTAAATGTCAAAGCAAAAGTAAGGATTTTATAATTGGTTGTGTGGTGGAGGTTGAAATAAAATAAATATATTAGTACTGTATAATTCATTGTTCTTGTGTAAATTTCTATCCGATTTAAGTGCAGAATACCTGTGGAGCCTCTGGATTGAATTGCTTTGAAAATGAATCAGTTTCGTCAATAAACAAAATTATAACATTATATAAATATATGTGCTCCAAAAAGCATTATCTAGATACATTCAACTGCAAAGAGAACTATGTTTTGTTTAAAACAAATACAATTAGTTACATTTTCCATGACTCTGACTAACAATCATTAGCTTATTGTGTATATCAATTAAAATTAGCTTAGCACCACATTTTGTTACTATTGAAACGCCATTTGAATTTTGCAATCGGAATGAGAGTGTTCATACACTGCATAAACGGCCTTTACATAATTTTATTATGTTTGATCTGCGATCTGCCAGTTGCGGTAGCCGTGAGTATAGTATATCCACAAATATCATATTTCTTATGTTCATTCAATAAAGTCTAGCATAACTATCCAATCTGGCGGGTGCAAATACAACCCAAAGTACTTTGATAACTTCACCATGAGCATCGTTAACAACACGATCAACCTCGATATGATCACCAAAAAGACCTTTGACCGTGGCTTTAATGTGCACGTCGACTTTTCGATCAGATTGAGTAAAACGAAACACTATCAACGCGTCTTTGCCCACACAATGGACACTTGTGGGGTTGTTTCGACAATAAAAAGAAACATATTCAAGGCCTGGTTCCAGAGCATGTGGGATCGTAGCAACTTCGTGCACCGCTGCCCTGTAACCAAGAGTCATTATTTTCTGCGCAATTGGACGGTGGATCCACAACTGGTGCCTCAGTATTTGTCTGCTGGCGATTATCGTGTCACTTGTCACTTTTTCTATGGAAAACTCAAATCGAAGCAGGAGGAATTCGTAATAGACTTAACCACTTATGCAATATTAAAAATGAATTAATTTTTTCTTAATTATTTTTTAATATACCAAATCCTAAAGGCAAACATCTCAAATTGGTAAGAGCCAATGTAATAATTATGCATAATCATTTTATAAAGAAGCATTTTGTTGGCTACGCTAAAACCTTGACAGTACTTATCCTAACTCTCCAACTTCCGATGTACAAAACCCTAGTTCCCGAACTAAACATCACCTAACTTAACATTGGGTTAGGATGAAACAACTGTGTTTGGCATAAAGTTATTCATTACTGCAAGCAAGATCTCAAACCGAGAACGAGCATCTCAAAAGTTTCAGCTTACTATTTATTTATGTCAAACACAATTTTCAACCAATTCCTTTGGTGGATAATGGTGAAGTAATCCGATAACACTGAGATTCCAAAAAAAACTCTTTAGCAATCTAGCTTTAAGCCATGATTCTACGGAAAGTTTTAATAATGAGTTGGAATGCTCGGTTAGATTTCAAGTATGCAGGATAAGTTTCTTTATGATTATGTTCCTTAGGATATATTTTAGCTAAGAAAGATCAATCATTTTAAAAAGTGAAACATTAAATTGATTATGACTGTACCTCACATGCCGGCTATTAGCGTGTGTAGTTCATTAAAATTCAATGACAGAAACAAGTGCATCGATGATCGCTTCATAACGAGCTGATGCTTATCCTAGCAACAATTTCGTATTGAGCTGAATAAATAATTATTTGAAGCATTGAAGCCGCGTGTATCTAATTGATTTTTGGGTTATTTAAACAGATGAGTGGATCTATTGAGTAATTTATAAATTGTTCGTATTATTACAAATTGGTCGCTGTACGTGTCGAAATGCTACCGTCGCGCTTTTATTGTTGTTCAGCATTGCTAATAATTGGCCTGATGCTGTGTGTTAGTGTGTATCCCAGTCTAGCGGTAAGTCTTGCCCAGCCAGTTACTGGAAATACCACCAATTTTATGTTTCTGCAGGAACGCCATGTCGAGTTTCTTGCCACCAACTATACTTTCAATACGAAATATTTCAAGAACTTTAGTGTTTCGATTGCGAATAAAACCCTTAACATGGATATGGAATTGGCCAGACCTATTCAGCGAGGCTTCAAGGCCCACGTCGACTACCAACTGCGAGTGGCCAATGCCAAGAACTTTCAAACTATATTTAGCCATCATTTCGATGTATGTGCCATAGTGAGTAATGTCAAGGATGGACTGCTTAAGAGCTGGTTCAAGAGCATGCTGGAGTACAGCAACTTCATGCACAACTGCCCGGTGGAGGTGGGCTACTACTATCTACACAATTGGAAATTGGGCTCCACGATGACGCACCAGTTTTTATATCCTGGCGAGTACCGTGGCCAGCTCCATTTATTCTATGGGAAGTACAAAACCAAAACAGAGGATCGAGTGATCACCCTCATAATTGATTCTATACTGTACAACTGATCGAGTACACGAAATAAATCAAGAGGTGGCTTTAACAGACGCTTCTGCTATCGCAATCATTTCAGGTCGCACATTATTATTATCCATCCAAGTCCCGGCGACGTTGCAGCCTGGAGCCTCACGAGAAATAATAATATCCTGTACAAGGCTGCAACATGTGGCACGCAACGCCGTTGATTATCGATGGGACACATTCATGGGAGAAAAATGGAACAAAAAAGAAATCGAAAATAAAACATTCAATTTAGCTACAATGTCCTCGATGTCATCAACGTCGTCGTCTGCGACGCTTGGCAGCTGTCGCACACAGCAAAAGGAGCTGCTGTTAACGGCTTCTTTAACTCCATTTTACTTCTTGTCGTAGCTGCTTCCGCCTCCTCTCGATAGCGTGTGTACTTTTTACTTTATCGCTTCCTAATTGCCGCCCACCTGCACTTGTCATTGGCTCACCAGGCAGTCCGGCCTGGCATAATTTTCGCAGAATTTTCCAGCGATTCGCCTAAGGCTCAAACACAGAGCTGCTTGTGTGTGTGTGTGAGAAAGAGGGGGCTTGCCATGATTCCCGCTGGTATAATTATGTACAGCGTGTGTGTAATGATGGCACCTCCCTAGCGCCCTGTGTCTGACATCGCCTGCGGCCATCTCAGCTGCCCGCTTGACTAGTGCTAATCAGTGATTCAGGTAAGCTTTGTTTAATTAGTTCAAATCCTGCTGCGGCATCTAATTGGGCTATTTCAGTTCAAGCGGCATGAATCAAAATTTGCCAGATGTTCCATTTATAGCAGAGAGAGAGAGAGAGAGAGAGAGAGCGTGTTCGGATACTCAAATAGCTATGTGTAAATTAAACATTTTAACCAGTGAAAATTCTACTACTGCAATATCCAAGATATGCTCTATAAACTGAATCTTAAAATGTTATGCTAATCTTTACACAGGGAAACAAACGGAACAAATCGACCCTCTTGCTGATTAAGCACTTATAACTCGTACAGCCCTAACCCACTCATTGGATAAAAGGTATAAGGGCAGCGACTACCCCTGCTTGATAGTACGGCTAACATTTACTTAGTTAGGGCATTAGAAATCAACGCAAAAGCGTTTCGCACTGTAAATCAATTTCACGCCAAACAAACGCTAAACGTTATTTAACACAAAGCACGACAACAATAATGATGGCAATTTCCTTGAGTACCCCCGTTTGCCACACCCAATATTATTTGTCTCAAGGATGTTCCCGAAAGACCTGCAATGCATGGGATCGGGAGTTTTTCAATAGCAGTGCTCGACGCTTCCTACATTTGTCGATGGCGACAAATACAAGAAATTACGCTTTGATTTTGCGTTGATTTCAGCGGAAGTGCAATGATAGCAAAATGAAAGCAGGGGAAATGAAAGCACAGAAAAGGAAAAGAAGCCACTGAAAACGTTGCGTACTTACCAGCGCGTGCGAACGTGTCGAGTGCGGGTCCAGGATGCCGCATGGCGAGTCGGTTGGGTGGATGGTCGGTTGCAGTGTGCAGAATGCACGAGTCGTGAGCCGGGTAAGCTTGGCGAGTTGTTAAGGGAAATACTTTGGCCAACTGTTATTGTCAGTGTTTAAATTATTTTGCGCTTAGTTTGCCACTCGCATAAATCGCAGCCAACAGCAGCAGTGGCAACAACTGCTGCACTTGTCCGCCATTCAATTGCGTGTCCATGTCTTTGTCCATGTCCATGTCCCCATGTGTCCGTACCCCTGTTCGTGTCCATGTCCCCGTTAGTGTCTGTTTCCGTATTCTTATCCATATCCTTGTCCAGCAACAACGGTCGCGCGTGTCGCGTGCGGAACAAATCCAACCAGAGCCAGGTTGAGGCTCATTAATTTATTTATGCGAAGTGCACGTGCAACGATTTGCTCAATCGGAAGTGAAAAATTGTGTTAGCGATCAGATTGAAGCGATAGCCTTGGGGCCATAAAGAATTCATGGGGCTTAAATATGCCAAATTAGGCAGCCGACATGCGTTTATTTTCAATAGTATCTAAGCATTACGATTGGACTATAGTCTTGCAAGATTTACTCGCAGTATACAAATAAAATATTCAGTTCGTGTGTGAATTGATTCTCATAGGACAATAAAACTTCTTACACTATCACCAAGCTCCCTACCCGAAATTGCCGACAACACGATTATCCTCTTTATGTGGATAACAAAAATAATACTAACAGCCAATGGGCTTTTCCAATTTATATATATTTTTATCTGAAATGTCAATGTATTGCTACTTCATTTTAATGTCCACAAACATTGAGGTATTCGTTAGCATATCATTGGCCCAGTCCCGCAAATAAAACAAGGAATCAATGCGAAAATAACCGGTCATTATGAAAGCGGGAATGCTGTCTTTATCGGGTCGCAGGTTCTTCCAGTAATAATTTCCCTAACGAAACTTAATTGGCGATAATTCAGCTTAAGAAATTTTTAACTTACCTCTTTAATCGGACAGCTTCGAGGCATATTTGTATACCTATAGATGTTCTGCACCCAACTATGGAAGACGTTCATGCCTTTGCCCTTGCCAAGCAAATTGCACAGATTCATATTATAGGCAAATATCGTTCGATAACTACTTTTCGTTTCACGCTGCGCGATGCTCACTTTCAGCCAAAGATCAACAGTTAGTGGTCGAATTATATCCAATGTCATGTTAATTGCCATGTGATCTGGACTAATGCGTGCCGCATAGTTTGAGGCATATTTGCGTCCAAAGTTGGTAAAAACCTTGCGAAAGTGTAGCGAATTAAAGGCCTGGTGAGTAACATAAAGAAAATAAATTGTTACAAATTAAACTGAATACGATTTACCTTACGGCCAACGGCTAATTGCGTAGCATAGAATATCAAAACTATAACTAAGATAACTCTAGCTTCACGAGGCATATTTTAGCTGCGAACGAGCTGTGTTACGCCAGAATGTCATAACGTATTTGATGACAACCCAATAAAATTCAATCGTACAACAGATCTTCTATTTATATTATAATGTCATAAGTCATTAGCCTGTACACTACAACAATTTTAGTACCCGCTTTTATTTACTTCCAAATACTTGTTTACCTAAACAATAGTGAGTTCTTGGATTTGAAAATAATACCTAGACCGGGATTCAAATAATTCAATTATTTTACCACATTTATATTGTACTTTAATAATGTAATCTGTTAATAGTAAGGTATAGTATAGTAGTAATAATAGTTTTAGCAATTCATTATAAGTGTAAAAGTATGTAAGTATCAAATAAGTCAAATAATGAGACGCGTTGTCAATCATGTTCAGTATTAAGTCCATCGCAAAGCCCTTTTGCTGCTAGAGTAAGGACTAATATTGGCAATAAAGAATAGGTATACTAGAGATCGTCATAAATATATTTAAAAACAAACAACTTTGTTTTTGACCATTCAGCCAAAAAATATATATTCCCTCTAGGATCTTTCCGATCGCTTTTAAACATATTCTCCCGGAGTCCCTTCGTTCATTGTAAAATAAATATGCTTAAAATAAAAATCTTTCACAATTGCAAATTTTGTTAACGCATACTCAACTGATTGTCCGGTTTTAAAAACACTTTAAAAAGTCAACAATTATTACTTCTTATTCATTATTGCTTTCACAACTTTTCGAGCGTAAAAAATACAAATGAAATTGAGCAAACAATTGCACATTTATTTGCTGCATAAATGGCGTGAACATTTTTAATAGCCGTAAAATTACAGCAGAAATTTATGATGGCGGAATAAATTTGAAAAGCTTTCTGAATGCAACGCGGCAGTATAATGGGACAGAATATCCTTAATTAGGTATTGCAGCACAGAAAAGATTGATCAACCCTTGGTTTACTCGAATTTGGATGATATATTGGGAGGGAGCAAGTAAAATTTAGCATAGTTTGACACATTTCGATAAGAAGAACACGACAGCAAATTGGAGAGGAGCAGAAAATGAAACTGTCAAAACCAAGGAAAATTCATTGACATCTGCAATTTGGAAAAGTTTTTTTTTTTCATCCAAAGAGTGAAAAATGGGGAATGAAGATGGCTGTGCGGTGCCTTGATCGTATCGTGCGGCAATTAGCATTTTGTGGCAATGTTGCACAATAATTTAACGAGCCAGCCAGAGCAGCGCAGCGGGAGCCTTTAGGACGAAGCCACAAAAAAGATGCCTGCAATTGTGCGAAGGGCGGCAAGACGATGCCCAAAAAAAAAAAGAGAAAAAAATTATTTGATTATCCTGCGGCCATGCGCTGTCACAATTTCGCAGACTGCCCGCCGAGCGTGTCCGGGGTCCGCTTCGTTTTGCTGCTCAGGACCCACAGTACCAGCTCGTCCTGTCCTAGCAGCAGCACGAAAACTGCCACATCAGCAAAAGTCTGTTAACTTCCGGTTTATGGTTGCAGCAGCTTATGGAGTCATTTCCGCTGGCTCGTCTTGCCCATTCATTCGGCTCAGCCAACCAGCTGGCGGTGCCCGCAGACCATTCTATTAAATCATCATTTCATTTTGTACTCGCTTCATTTTTTTTGTTATGTTGTTTTTTTTTTTCGTGCTTCCATTTTTCCCTTGCAACTCGGTAGCAGGACAGCGCACTGCGCTTGCGGTAATTTTTTTCAAGTGCTTCCTTAGATTTATAATTAAGATTTGGTTAGCAGCAATAGCGGCTCTTTTTGAATTTATGTGCCGGCAAATGTTGCCTGACTGCGGCGGCTGCGGCAGCGGCTATGTCTGCGTCTGTGATGGTTGCCCGGCTACTGCAGGCGCCTCTAAAAGCGGCAATTTATCATATTTCTATCGCCCGGCTCCTCCGAGCTGCAGCTAGAGTGAGAAAACTACAAGGTAAACTTTACCGGAGCAATTTAATTACGCTGATAGGTACTTACCTGTGAAGAGCGAAAAGATATGACTATAAAAGCAACATTATTATTAGACCGCTGCATTTTACCCTTCCATTCAATTTGCACTGCTTATAACTTGTCCTCATATGAATGGATGATAATTTTATGTTCACCGAATGTCTTTGCCTATCTATATGCCTGGCCATAAATAAGAACGTGTCGATCTTAGATACATAAAAAATAAAAAAAAGCAAGAGCAAGGCTATACTCGAGGTGGCTAAGATAAAAAGAAAAAAAAATACCCTTAGGCACATTTTCTTTTTGTCGTGTTAAGTGTTGTCTCACAATTAATTCGAGCTTAGCACAGTTGATATTCACAATAAATGGTTTTCTCTCAAGAGCTCGCATATGAGTTTTTTTTTTAAGAAAACTTAGTTTTCGACTGATTCTTTCCGTAGATCCTGGCTATAACCATAAGGTTTTTATAATCGAAGATTATTTTCAGCCAATATTTCAGAGGTGTCTTCTTCTACACATATAATGAAATAAATGTAGTTCCCTTAACAAACGTATGAAAAAGGAGAGCCAACATATAATTTAGTATATTGAGTCAAATATATCTATCGGTATTTAGCAAACTAGGGATGATCTGATAAAAAATTGATAAGTGCCAGCTTCTACTTCTCCAAGTTGAAGTGTTTAGCTCTGCTCTGTTGATCATTTTAATGGCAACTATTTTTTGTTTAAGACATTATTTAAAAGGAAATTCGCTTGAAATACTGGTCATATTTTCATTTTTCGTTTGGCAAATAAAAAGCAGTCAATTCTACAACTAAAGAATTCCCACACCAATCGCCTATTTCCTGACAGTTTTTTCTCACTCCTTGTTACCAACTGTCGCTCAGCAAGTTAATGAGGAACAACAGCGGCATCGCCTTTACGTGAAGCTGCAGAAAAGTTTTGCTCAAGTGGCATTTTTCCATTTTCCACATACAGGCGTTCGCGTTTTAACTCGAAGCGGCAGCTGCTGTTGGAATAAAGACGATGATTTCGTTGATTTGAATTGTGATTAAAATGCAGTGTATAATTTTTTGGCACGCCTTGCCAGTCTGAGACAGCCGGAATGTGCGGCCCAAGAAGTTTTTGCCTCGTTTCACACTTTGTCAGACTGTGCTAAAATGCAGGACGAGATCGGGATCGGGAGCGGCAGCGGCAGCGGGATAAAATGCGGCAAAGGAAGCCAAAGAAAAATTGCAAACCGCAACTCGTGTCGACTTGCCGCTCCAGCTCGACTTGATGTTAGAATAATGAAGAGGCAAAACTTTTGCGCTAGGCATGTAATTTTTCGATGTGACAGCCGGCGAGGAGAGACCACCAGCCACCCAGCCACCCCACGTACCGGAAACGGTAGTTGTCATTCGTTTTCTGCATTTGTTACAAAGTTACATTAAAAAGAAAAAAAAAACAAGAGAGAGTGGTAAAAAGAGAGAGAAACACACTGCATAAAAACTTCTGTTGTGCAAGATCTCAAGCGCTTCGTGCATTCTTATTACTCGCTTCTTTTTACTAACTTCCATTTAGGCCGAACACTTGCAACGCTCGCAATATGAGCGCCAGTCCTGGCCTCAGTTCCAGTATTTCCCACATCAGCGCATAAATCACAGCCGGCCCAAGCCTAGGCCGCGTTATAAATGCGAACAATGACACAATTGATTGGCCAATTACGTGCGCTTCGGGGTGATTATGACGTTACGTACCGTTAGCCAGCCCACTCGTTTGCCGTTGCCCTGCAACTGAATGTGAACCTGAACCGGGCGCTAAAGTGGGCTGGGCATGGAGCTGTCCATGGGGGTGTCCAGACGGCGTGCATGTCATGCCTGGCTAAATTTACACAATTAAATGCGTGAAATTCGTTTGAATAATTGAGCAATTTTTCTGTGCATGGCGGGGGCCACAACAATTTGGGCATATAGCCTCAACAAGCTGTTTGTTTTAAAGATGTTGGCGAAATTTAATGGAAAATTGACGCACAAAAAAAAGGCAACTATTAACATATTATGACCCATCGACGAATTAAAATATGCCATCTGTATCATCAGCTATATGGGCCTCATAATCGTAAACCATAATTACACGTATACTAAAATGGAAACCATTCAAAAAATGTTGTGTGTGGAAAAGGTCGCTAAGGACTAAATCCAAGCGTTGAAGACTGCCCGAATCCTGTGCGTCCATAATGTGCTAGCATGGAGATGCGTTAAGGTTCAGAATGGATGGGCACAAAAAAAAAAAAAGGAGAAATTTTCGCAACTTTATTGCCAGTGGCCGAGGCAAGGCAAAGCCACAGCTAATTTATTTGCAGGCTCGACCATCTATGCGACACAGCAGCGCAGAGAACACAGAGAACGTCATCCTGGCAGGCACTTCATTGTGCAGTGGCTCGTTTAAAATGCTGATTCAGTTTCATCATTAACCAGATTAATATGGCTCGGCGCTAACAGGGACAGGCGCAATATGGCAGCCGGAAGCCCCATGCCGCATCTGCAGTCCGTTCTCAAATTGGTAATCGATGTCCATCCCGAGCATGTTCTAGTCATCGCCAGTCTCCCGCATGAAACTGTCCTTGCCAATGGCCATGTGGTCATCCTCATCGCCACCATTATCGTTGTCCTCATTGCAGACACTTCAAGTTTATCACATTGCAGTTTGTCGAGCGTCACGCGGCGTATGCGAAATATTGGGCCAATGAATTTTTATGCGAGCCGTGTGCATCGCGTAGGGCTTTAGATAATTATGCAGCGAATTTCTGGCTAATCGACCAAACCAAAATGGCGTTGTGGCTCTTTAATCAGGCAAGTGTTTTGCTTAAATTTCGTTCGCTGCAATTTTTGATCAGCAAACACTTGACAAAAGAGAACATC